CATTGACGGTAAACAAAACCCCAAAACCCCATCCTCTTTAGACGACGTTGAAGCTAAGCTCAAAGCCTTAAAGCTCAAATACAACACTCCTCATGCTAAAGCCAACAATCACACGGGAAAAAACGCCGTTAAACTTTACCAACACGTCGGATTCAACACCGCCAATTCGAAATGGGTCGTCTCCGATAAAGTTACGACTTATTCGTTCGTCAAATCAGGTAGTGGTGATGAGTCTGATGATGAAACTGAAGAAACTGAGGAGAATAGTTTTTGGGATTTGCAAATTGGTTCCAAAATTAAGGCTAAGGTTGATGAGAATTTACAATTAAAGGCTTTTAAGGACCAAAAGAGAGTGGATTTTGTTGCAAATGGCGTTTGGGCTGTGAAATTCTTTGCTGAAGAAGAGTACAATGCATTTGTTGATAAATATCAGAGCTGTTTGTTTGAGAATACTTATGGGTATGAAGCAAATGATGAGAATAGAGTTAAGGTTTATGGTAAGGACTTTATCGGATGGGCGAAACCCGAAGCTGCAGATGATTCAATGTGGGAGGATGCAGGGGATAGTTTTAAGAGCCCCGAGAAGACGCCTTTGAGGGTTAACCATGACTTAAGGGAGGAGTTTGAGGAGGCGGCGGTTAATGGAGGAGCTATTCAGAGCTTAGCATTAGGTGCATTGGATAATAGTTTTCTTATTAGCGATTCGGGTATTCAGGTTGTGAGGAATTACAGTCATGGGATAAGTGGAAAAGGTGTTTATGTGAATTTCGATAAGGAAAGGTCTAGTACTGTAGCTCATTCGACTCCTAGGAAAGCTTTACTGTTAAGAGCTGAGACTAATATGCTTCTCATGAGTCCCGTGACCGATAAGAAGCCTCACTCTAAGGGATTACATCAATTTGATATCGAGACAGGGAAGGTTGTTAGTGAGTGGAAGTTTGAGAAAGATGGAACTGATATCTCAATGAGGGATATTACTAATGATAGCAAAGGAGCTCAGATGGATCCCTCGGGGTCGACTTTCTTAGGTTTAGATGATAACAGGTTGTGTAGGTGGGATATGCGTGATCGACATGGGATGGTTCAGAATCTTGTCAATGAGAGTAATCCTGTGTTGAATTGGACTCAAGGGCATCAGTTTTCTAGGGGAACTAACTTTCAGTGCTTTGCTACTACTGGTGATGGATCGATCGTTGTTGGTTCACTTGATGGAAAGATTAGACTATACTCGAGCAGTTCAATGAGAATGGCTAAGACAGCTTTTCCGGGGCTTGGTTCTCCTATCACTCATGTGGATGTTACCTATGATGGGAAGTGGATACTGGGGACAACTGATACTTACTTGGTATTGATATGCACCTTGTTTGTTGACAAGAACGGAAGTACTAAGACAGGTTTTGCCGGTCGCATGGGGAACAAGATTTCGGCTCCAAGATTGTTGAAGCTAAACCCTCTCGATTCACATATGGCTGGAGCGAACAAGTTTCGCAATGCTCAATTTTCATGGGTACGAGTTCTCTCTTCTTCTACCCCTTTCTGCGTTTATTTGTAGCTGCATATGCAACTTATATTTTGACTGTCAAGCTTATTTTTCTTCCTTCATAGTTCGTACATTAAAAATTTTGCTTAGTTATTTCCTTATGACTTGCTTTAAGGTGATTTTGACATCCATATTAAGTGTCCAAGTTTTCCTTTTCTGTCTTATAGTAGTACAACTCCAGGATCATGTGTGATGTATTTTATCTTCTGCACTAATATAAATTGCAATTTGAGATCCGCCACATTTGATTTGGACGTGCTTTTGGAATTCCTATCAAATAATTGAGAGAGTTTGGTTTTGACGAGATTTTGCACATATCATTCTTTTTCTAGGCTATCTGCCTTTTTTTTTTTTTGATAATCGTTGTGTCCGGGCCAGCTTACGCGTACCTTGACTAATTCCACGGGATACCTGCCACCTCCCACCAGCAACAGGTACCAGGTAATTCTATCCACCAAGGCTAGGATAGATGAGAAGAAATCACCTAGGGTTTTTTTTGCCTCCGTTGGGATTTAACCTAAGACCTTATGGTTCTCACCCACTTCATTGGTCGCTAGGCCACACCCTTGGGTGCTAGGTCTATTGTTCTTGATGATCTTTAGCTGATAAGTTTTGTTCAACTGGAGTCTGCTTTAGGTTGTTCATACGTTATGTTGGACTGGATATAAATAATTTAGATTTTAGACTATGAAGTTCTTTTGCTCTATCAACTTCATATATTGATGTTAACAACTCAAAATAGGGAGAGGAAAAGGATGAAACAAACTACCTCATCATACGAGGAGCTATACTCTTAAATCTCAGACTGATGTCACTTGGTTGGGGAGAGGTAGCATACTTGATTTAGCATCTTAGATCCAAGTCCAAAAAATGAGGAAGCCTAAACTGCTGCTTAGAGACAATAAGTTATGCAGGGAATAGAAATATCTCTTGAAATTGACATTCCTCATAGTTTACAGGACAATTCCACATTTTCCTGGAAAGCTAAATCCAAAAATATAAAATATGCACCCCTCCCATTAGGACAAGGAAAGTAGGACATACTCCCTTGAGCCGATTTTATGCAGAATGCATACCATTTTATCTTTTGAAATGGTTGATGAACTCCTACAAGTGTTAATGTTCGCAGAAGGATAAAAAAATTAGAATTCATTGTACAATTCAACTTATGCTGACATGTAATCACTTCTCCATTTTAAAAAAAAATCAACTTATGCGGACCTGTACTGTAATTATATATTACACAACTTAATACAAATTTCAGAAATCAATTTATTTACTTACTTTATCGCTACCATAATAATAGGATATTCGTGGATAATTTCTGAATCTTAATGCTTAAACTGTCAAACTATGACACATAAAGTGAGTGGGAGTGTTAACTATAAGGTTCGCCAGTTTTCTACTCCTGGACCTTCTTTTTGGTTTTCTTGTTTTTTCTTTCCTGAGTTTGGTGGTTAGTCAGATTACGCCAAAAGGGTATGACCATGTTAAGATTTGCAATGTTCATGCTACTTGAGCGAATCAAAAGCTAATCAGCCCAGGAAATTATGAACTAGTAATATTCAGTATCTTATGCTGAAGATATTAGTCGACTTGGTTTGCTTATCCTCGATTCTAATTAGCCCCTTCTTCTCATGCATGTCAACTACTCAATCGACTGATAGCTCTTGTTTATGTATTGGAAACTATAACCATGTATATCTTCTGAATCGGGATAGAAACAACTCACGTGCTTGCTGAAACAAGAAAACCAATGAAAGTCATGTTGACCAAACAATAGAGTATTTTTGTCATAGAAAGTTTGTGGTCATGGAGGAGATCTCATTTACAATGCTGTAAGTGTATGTGGTGTCTACTGCTCTGTTACTGGAGCTCCTTCAGTATATGTATGGGACCAGTTGTCTTTTCATCTGGAGTCTTATATGCGTTGTGGATGAAGACTTTGCCAGTTTGTATATATTGCCTTTTTGTCTTACCCTATTAACCCTTTTCAAGTAAATCCTGCTAGCATTTGTTTATATAAATTGGGGATTGTCTTGTTAATTCTGTAGTCCTCCGATACTCATCTTCTTAGTGTGAAATATTTTAGGTCACTGAGGATGGGAAGCAGGAGCGTCACCTCGTTGCAACTGTTGGGAAGTTCAGTGTGATATGGAATTTTCAACAGGTGAAGGATAGTTCTCATGGGTGTTACCAGAATCAGGTGGGGTTGAAGAGCTGCTATTGTTACAAGATAGTTTTAAGAGATGACTCTATCGTAGAAAGTCGATTCATGCACGACAAATTTGCTGTAACAGACTCTCCTGAAGCACCCTTGGTGGTAGCAACACCCCTGAAAGTTAGCTCATTCAGCATCTCTAGCAGGAGATTACAAATTTGAACAGAGTCAATTTGTTCATATATGCAACTTAGTAGGTATATCTGGACCAGAATTAGTGTCCCTCGCACTAATTGCATATCTGCAAGCCATTTAAAAACTGACGTCAAGTACAATTTATTACTTTAATTTGAAGACATGCAAAAGCTGTCTTCCAATTTCTAGGTATCCCCAGTGTATTGTTGTAATAACTGAAAGGAGCGGATCCTTCTTAATGATTTCCGGTGATTTGCATTATTGCTGTTTTCTTTGGACACATCCCTTTAGATATGAAACTATTAGGCTATTTTAGTATTCTTGATGCTATATGATTACTTTGTGAGGTATTCCTTATGCACTTTCCCGGACTTTGTTACAATTTGACTGCAAAGAACTTGTGGCTGAGAAGAAGAGAGACTGAGGCCCCTTCTATCTTATTTGTAATGCTAAGTAGCCAACTTCTGTGTATCATTTGAATTATGATCATTTGCTTATTGCCTCATGACCAGTGCCCACCAGTTGGGTTTGTTCTGAGAAGATGGTAGGATAAGACATGGACATTGTAGTGGAAAGTAGCTTCCAAATTGTTCCTCTGGCTGTATAAAGCACTGATATCGGCCTGATCAAAGAGGACATTCGTTAAAGCTATGCAGAAGCAGAAGATTCAAGCTTCGAGAAGGTCAACATGACTTTCATTTGGGGCAATTTTTTCAGAGATTAATAATGTTTCAATCAGCTGGTCCTCTTTTTACAATAAGTTTCAAAGTACCGATTCATTCTCATAACCTCTTGGGACGCTAAAGAAAATTTAACGCAACTAAGACTAGATGGCATAAACTAGAGGAAATGGATGCAAGCAGGCAATGATAGGCTGATTGTAAAGTAATAAACTTCTGATGATGGTATACAATTTAATGCCTTTCAAATGATACAAATTACTCACCCAATCTTTCATTATTCTGTACAAACCAGTCAAAAAAGAAATAGAAGCCCACAAATGAGCTTATCAAATCCTGCCAGCTTCTTGGATATTTGATGGACTACACTATTTAATTACAGAATCACCTAGTTGATGTTACAGCCAAACCAATAACAAGCTTATTATCCTCCTATAAAATGCTATCAATCGAGTGAATGAGAATTAATTTAATATTGTACATATAAAAGAATACTCAGTATGTACATATCGTGAAAGATTACCCTTCCGCTTTATCAACTGACACAAACAGCCAAAAAAATTGGAGAAATAATTGTTAAAAATGACAAGATATAGTAAATGCAGAAAGCATCAGGCAGACTTATTGGCCTGTGCTTTCCTTCTGCCTAGAAACATGAAGATCCTTGGGAAGAAGGACCTCTTCTTTTTCCTTGGAATCTTCACATCTGGAGATGAATCAGCTTCGGTGCTGCTTGCTAGCGCTTGGGCTTTCGGACTTGTGCTGTTATGAGATGCAGCAGCCTCTGGTGCACTTTCAGAAGTCTTTGATTCTTTACTCTCCTCAACGCTCATTCTTGGGCTTCCTGTTGTAGGTGGAATGGATTCACCAGCTTTCCGTCTTTGCTCATGATCCGCTCTCCATTTCCTTAGCTCTTGCTCTACAGCCAACTTCCCTTCCTTGGCTTTCTCGGCCTTCTGCAGTGCAACTTCTAGAGCTTCCTTTCTTTCAGTTATCTCGCGATTAACCTCTTCCAGTCTGTTTAGGCTTCTCAGCTCTGACTCCTTGGCTACATCTATTTGGCTAATAGCAGCAGTGATCTTCATGTTAGCTTGCTGCTCCGCCTCATGCGCCTGCTTGCTGAGCTCAAAATACTCCGCCACAGAAAGAGTTACTCCAGCTGGCGCCTCATCGTCCGTTCTACTTTGTTGGGCTGATTCACTCTCCTCTAGAGCAGTGATAGCTGCTAGCGCCAACTTCTCTCCAGCTTTCGCAGCCTCTATCTCCTTCTTAACTGCAAGTAATCTAGTTTCTACGGTACGCGCTCCAGCCTTTGCTTGCTCAGCTTCTTCCTTTGCCTTAATCAGATCTTCACGTGCCATTTGAGCAAGTGATTTTGCACGATCAGCTTCTTGGGCTGCCTCTTGAAGTTGCTTGGGAAGCTCTACCATCTTCTCTCTTGCTTCTTTTTCCTTCATCTGTGTAAGAGCAATCTCTGACTTTGTCTTGCTCAACTCAGCTTCAAGAGATGCAACAGCAACAGATGCTATTCCTTCTCTCTGTTGGATCATGGCTAGTTCTGATTTTTCCTTTTCCAATTCTGTCTTCAATGAAGTTGCTGCCACCTTCAAGAAATTTACTTCAGTCGTAGCTTTCTCGATGTTGAGTTTCACTTCTTCTAGTTCCCTCTTAGCTGTGGCCACTGCTGCTTGTATCTCCACATGAGTTCTTTTCTCTGGCACCGACAGTTCGCCGCCGTTCAGGTTTCCTTCTTCATCAGTTTCCTGCTTCAACTTTGATTCCATATAAGCAGCCAACTCAGCTTTGAGATCCTGTAGCAAAGCTGAAGCAGTATCTAGTTTTCCTTGGAGATCCTTTGCAGACAGAATTTGCTGGTTTAGCTTGTCAAGCTCCTCTTCCGCCTGCTTCAGTTCTTTCTCCCAGATTAGAGCATCTTGCTCACTTGCTGCAGCTGCTCCAATTCTGTGTTCCTCAGCCTCCAGATGTGCAGCATGTGCAGCCTCTAAAGATTCCTTTGCAGTGATGAGTTCAATAGTTAAATTCTCCAATGTCTTGTCAACTTCTTTTGAAGCAGAGACTGCTTCCTCTGCTCTTTTCACCGCACCATCTTTCTCAGACACTAATAAAGCATAATCTTTTCGAAGATCTTCTAACTCAGAATTTACAGTCTTTAGCTCAGAAACTGCAGCTGCATGCCTAGCCTTGGCAACTTCAAGCTGTGCTTTGGCTGCAATACTAACCTCATTACCGATCCCCTGCTCCATCTCCTCCACCCGAAGCTTGGCAAGTTCTGAATCCTGTTTTGCTTGTTGCTCTTCTTTTTGTGCTCTCTCCAGGTTCAGCTTCAATTCTTCTATCAGTCGCTTAGTGCTATCTAGTTCCTTTAAAACTAGCACTTTTGCATCTTCAGCAGCCTGAGACTGTTTTTTATAAAATGGGATCTCCTCCTGCACTTTTGCTAGTTCTTGTTCAACAAGTTGCCGTCTCTGCATTAGCCAGTTGGGAGAAGAATTTTAATAGTCAGGGGATAAGAGCATTAAATTGTGAGATTAATGGGGAATTTAGCCAGGGGGAAAGATACTACTGTTCTTTGCAGGTGCAAATACAAAGTGATTGGAATAATGAAGTGGTTATGAAATCTCTGACAGGAAAGCGGCTATCAGGAAAAAACAAAAAAATTAAACAGTATATATCTACCTCCACAGTCTGTACACGATGAGCCTTCCAGTCGACGATCCCTCCAAACTTGGAAACTGCCTGCTTAACAGATTCAATTGGTGCTGCTGTGTCGATTTGGCCTTTGTTTATGTCAGATTTTTCAGGATGCTTAGGACTAGCAATGGGTACTGAGGTCCTTGCTGTGAAAGTGGAAGCCTTAGCTAGCGGGCGACCGATGTTATCTGGTGAAAATATGTGATTGTTATTTTCAGGTTTCCTCATTTGAGTGGATAAAGGAGAAGACTCATCCTCATCGATGTGGGTACTGCTAGGAGAATTATCTGGCTGATGACGCAGTGAAGCATTATTTGGTCCTACTTCTGAATGATTAGATTGTACATTATTAGATTGAACACGTTCAGAAGATTCCTTTTTGTTTTCCTCTTTTAGGGGAGATGTCTCTGAATTCACGGCTAATATTGATGAAGAATCTTGTTCAGCTGTTGGTCCATCAGATGAATCATTTGGTTGGTTTTGAACCTTACCATTAGCACCCATGTCCAATGCTGGCTCCAACATTTCACTTGGTTTTGCATCCAATGTGGATGACACATTGGATTCTCCGAGAGCTGTTGTATTTCTATTTGCAGAAGGGTCTGCTTTCAGATCCTGTAATAATTGAGGTGAGGCTTCCGGCTCAACCGTAGGTGTACCAGAAGCCATTTGAGGAGTTCCTGTTTCCGAAATGTCACTCACTCCATCAGATTTAATGGGGGTGGACGACAATAAATCAGATTTAATGGGGGCGGTCGACATTAAATTTCCTTCTGGAGAAGTCTGACTTTGTTGCAGTAATAAGCTGCGAGAGGCCTCTTTTAAATGCGCTGAATCATCCACGGCTGCCTCCTGAATTTTGGAGCTTTCTTTTTCACTTGTATGTTGACTTGTTTGAGCTGCATTATGTGATTGATCCTCATTCGGAGAGGAGACCTTTGGTTCATGAGACGATTCTGGAGGAGCACTTTCCTTCCTATCTTTAGCATCTTCCATTCTTAATTAAGAACTAAACTGAACCAAATGGGGACCTAGAAATCAAATAATCACAGAATAAGTTAGGAGATGCAGACCTGCCTTAATTTAACAGACATAACATGCAAAATATATCTTCATGCACAAGACTAGATCACCTATTCTATGGCATCCGTAGTAACTGTGACCATTTTCTTAATTAAGGAATATGATACAAACAACAACAATAACTGCACCTTAGTTCAAGATAAGTTGGTGTTGACCATATGAATCCTCTTTGAGACGACGACCATGTTTCTCCCTTTAAACTCATCTCAAGCCAATATTATATAAAATAAAAATAAAAAGTATATGAATCTCTGAAAAGGCTAAAAGACTCCTAGAAAGCATAGGATCTAAAGTACTAACAAGACTAAAACATACTCCCAATATCTAGAGGAATCATAAAGATAGACTTATTTTACGACACAGACGGTATGGGAATTCATTGGGTTTGTTGTTGTTATTTTACGACTACCTCAACCTTCCTCCTATAACCAAACTCGGAACCAGCTATACTTTGCAAATTAAAGCCATCTATGCTAAGAATAGGATTACCCCATTTTATTTTATTTTTGATAAATGAGGATTACCCCATTTTATTTTATTTTTGATAAATGAGGATTACCCCATTTTATTTTATTTTTGATAAATGAGGATTACCCCATTTCCAAACAACTTCATATTTGATTTAACCTTTATTGGAAAATACACCTTTTATTAGGATAAAATTACAAGTTTAATACCTTCAAAAATCAAAATAAGGAATCATCAAACAGGAATGTAGAGCCGTTAATCAATATCTGACCATGAACATAAAATCTTCCAAATCCATTATTCGACAAGAATACAATCTGGAACTCAAGTTTATAAAACCCAGCTACACACATTCTTGATTAAATAGGAATTTAAAAACCAAACTACATTAGTCTTCGTTTACATCTAACCCCTTCTGGGGTATCCAAAGATTACTCTTTTATTACCAAATACATCATTGGAGAAAACAAATGCGCATGACTAAACATTAAATACAATAATTAATCAAGAAACATAATCATGTCTTAATGGCAGAATCATATAAAACTCATGAACATTAACTGATTAAAAACCAACCCAAAAGAGAAAATAAAGAACATTACCAAGAATCAACAGGAAATGAGAAGAGACTACAAAATGATGTCTATTTCTCTTTCCCTCTCCCTCAATGTGTATTCTCCGGAAAAAGAGAAATAAACAAAAAGATACACAAAAATATAGGGTCCAAAATTCACTGTAAAACAAAAAGAAATGAAAAAGGGAGAAGTGTTCCTTAAAAAATAGATTGAGTGAGGAGAGGAGGTCACTGTAACACGTGGGTGGAGCCTGCCCCTCTTGTTTTTGTGTTCCCCTCAAATTCAAATAAACTTTTCCCCTCAAAATTCTGTTTTTTTTTTTTTTTTAAAAAGTAAGATTGAGTTGTAATTAATTGAAGATGAAATGAAAGAACAGGAGATGAGATTTGGTGTATGAAACTTTACACCTAATGATTTAATGTGAAGTTAAAATTTCAAATCTTAGTCCGGCCCTATCTTCTGTATTAAATATATTGATTAATAAATAGTTAATTTTTTCAGATATCAAGAAGAAGTTAACTTCTTTTTTTTAAAGTTGCCATTGGAATAAACAGCTTAGGAGTATTTGTTATATTTCCAATGAATAATTAAGGCTAATATGGTCAATTTAGTATTAATTATTAGTAAAAGATGGATTCCTTCATATATGTGAAAATAGTTAAGAAATCAATTAAAATGGACCGGAGAGAGTAGTATGTTACAACTTCATTCTTTTGTGTTTGTATTATAAAAAATTTGTTAACTTAATAGTATAAGTAATAATAATTAATTATAATTTTATGTAAATAGCAGCAAAATTTATTGACCATTAATGGAATCTGCGAAGCAGCAGAACTCTCAACTAACCTTCTAACCTCAGCTTCCATTCTTCTCTCTCCTTTCTTTTTTTCTTTTTGGTAGATTCTTTATTTTCCAACTATATTTACTTTACAATATTTAAAGCCACCGCCCATTAAGAAACAGGCAGCTCTTTTCATCTACATGCTAGATTTTCTAGCGTGTGTCCAAGTGAGAAAAAGAGAAAAGCAATAGGAAATAATTTTCTATTTCCATCTACAATTTGATTAAAGAAGTGATTCTTTTTCAAGTCTCTTATGTTATTTTTTATTGGTACTTGTAAAAAGTCATAAAACTATTCCATCCGGTTCATTTTTAATTGATATTTTAGCTTTTTTGTGGTCAATATTTGATTTTTTCAGATATCAAGGAGTTAACTTCTTCTTTTTTTCTTTAAAAATTGCCCTTGAAATAAAGAGCGTAGGAGCTTATGTTATATTTTTTATGAACAAATTAAAGTTAATATGGTCAATGTCATTATTAATTAATGATAAAAGGCGAATTCCTTAATACGTGTAGAAACAACCAAAAAATCAATTAAAGTGGACCGAGGAAATAATATATAGTGATGCAAATTCAAATGTGATATCATTTGATATTGTGCTTGTCACGATCCAAAATCCATTAAAGGTCCTGATGGTGTCGGACACCTCTATCAGGCAAGCCAACACTAAATAGTTAATTACATTCTCATTTTTTATATTTTTAAAATCATAAATTTCCTTTAATTTAACTAGTAAAAAATAAGATGAACTTTGCAGAATAATTCATAATATTTTCAAACCTTAATACTGAATATCACATAATCATCCCAGAACCCGGTATCACAAGTGCATGAGCATTTATTAAGAATTAAAATATAATACGATAACTGTTCGGAATACAAAGTTGGACAGAAGAGGAAATACAAATACTCTAAAGGAGACTCTGCAGGCTGCGGATCGTCTCATAAGATGTAGCTCACCTAAGTCCCTGTATCAATCATGCCGCTGCGCCCGCACGGCCACTGAACATACATGTGCTTGTACAACAAAATATACAGCAAGTGTAGTATGAGTACGAAAACAACGCGTACCCAGTAAGTATCCAGTCTAATCTCGAAGAAGTAGTGACGAGAGGTCGACTCCGACACTTACTATGGCCATCAATAATATAATTAGTCGTGGATTTATTAAAAACAGCAGTAAACTCAAAGAAAATATGAAGCAAGTAAACAATCCTCTTGGTAATAAGAGATTTCCAAATTCACATTTCATCATTTATCAATTTATCTCAGACCAGGGAGTCAATATCATTATATATAATTTCAAGGCAAGCAATACAAGCATGTACGGCCCGGTTCAACATAATATTTAAACAGTACACTGCCAAAGGGTCGAATGGCGCGCACCATAGATGCATCTATTTAATCTACCGAGGCGTTCGGCCCGTTCTACAAAAGATAAACACATTTAAACAATCAATCAAGAATTCATCAAGGGACAATTTTCCAAGGAAAAGGCAATTTCTCTTTTATAAGTCAAGAAAACGATGTCTAGCCTTTTAGAAATTTATTTACAAAGTTCGATATGATTTAAGCATTTTAAATTGACAATAAGATTGCAAATATTACAAGTAAAGCATGCGTTTGGGTCGTAGACTACCCGAACATAAGCATAATAGTAGCTATGCACGGACTCTCGTCACATCGTGCGTACGTAGCCCCCACAAATAGGAGCACATACTATGGGGTAAATTCCCTCTTACAAGGTTAGAAAGGAGACTTACCTAGCTCCGAAGTTCCATAACCGGTTCCAACGCCACTCTAGCACCTCAAACAGATGTCCAACGTTCCAAAACTAGCCAAACAAAGCGCAAACCAATAAAATACACTCTAATACTCATAACAATTCTATTTACAACAATTCCCAACTCCGCTCGGAAAGTCGATAGAATCACCCTCGGTTCTACGTGCCCGAATTCCGAAATTTTTCGAAGATAAACATTACCCATAAACTTACGAACTCAAATATATAATTTATTCCCAATTCCATGTCCAATTTCATGGTCAAAATCTAAGAATATAAATTTCTAGGTTTTTCTTCAAACCTCAAATTTCCATGTTAAAATCTATACATAATCAATGTATTTAACTCATAATAGGTGGGGATAGCTTACCTTGCCATTGATGATGGAACCCCCTCTTGAAACCCTCCAAGAATCGCCCAAACCAAGAGAAAATGAAAGAAAATGGGCAAAATCCCGTCTTTTAAACAACAATACTGCTCAGCAATTCTTCGCACCTGCGGTCACTTGATCGCTTCTGCGGTTCTGTAGGTACGGACAAACACCGCTTCTGCGGTCCTCCACCAGACCCCTAGATTCCGCATCTGCGATCACCATCCGCTTTTGCGCCTTCGCTTCTGCGGCTCCCCGCGCGCAAGTGCAGTCCCGCTTCTGCGGAACTCGGCTGCATCTGTGGTCCCAGTCCTCTCCAGTCTAAGCTGCTTCTGCGACCCTCATGGCCGCTTCTGCGGCTCCGCACCGGCGGCCCTAACCTCGTAGGTGCGGTTACACCATAAGACAGCAGCCTCAGCACCTCCATAAGGCCAAACTCAATCCGTTGACCATCCCGAATCCACCCGAGGCCCCCGGGACCCCGTCCAATCACACAAATCAGTTCCATAACATAACACGGACCTGCTCGAGGCCTCAAATCACATCAAACAACGCTAAAATCATGAATCGCACTCCAATTCAAGCTTAATGAACTTTAGAACTTCAAACTTCTACATTCGATGTCGAAACCTATCAAATCACGTCCGATTGACCTCAAGTTTTGCGCACAAGCCACATTCGACATTACGGACCTATTCCAACTTCCGGTATCGGAATTCGACCTCGATATCAAAAAGTCCACCTCTGGTCAAACTTCTCAAAACCTTTAAATTTTTGACTTTAGCCAAATGACTCCAAAATGGCCTACAGACCTCCGAATACGGATGCGCGCCCAATACCAGAATTATCATAAAGAGCTATTCCCAGACTCGGAATCCCAAACGGACATCGATAACACTGAAATGCATGGCAACCCAAATTTATGAAATTCTTCCCAAAATGCCAACTTCCACAATAGACGCTGAAACGCTCCCGGGTCATCCAAAACCCGCTCCAAACATACGCCCAAGTCCGAAATCATCATACGAACCTGTTGGAACCTTCAAATCCCGATTCCGAGGTTGTTTACTCAAAAATCCAACCTTAGCCAATTCTTCCAACTTGAAGCTTCCGAAATGAGAATTCTCTTTCCAAATCAACTTTGAACTTCCAAAATTCCAGTTCCGACCACGCGTACAAGTCATAATACCTCAAGTGGAGCTGATCATGGCTTCAAACCGCCGAACGACGCGCTAGAGCTCAAAACGGTCGGGTCGTTACCGTGCTGTTTTTGATCTTTCTTTTATCTGTCACTTTTATTGAAAACATTAGTGCAAATATTTGTCACTTTAGAAAATCAAAAAAATATTATTTTTTTAAGGAAAAGATAAAATAATAGTCCAATACCTCTTATGAACAACCTTAAATTAGGGATAAAGAGGAACAAAGAGAGTACTATATTGGTGAAACAAACAATTAGCTGTTGTTTAAGATGGTATGCCACCAACAGTTAGCTTCAACCATTAATTAGCATTAGGCTTCTAATTATAACTTTATGACATTATAAATTTCGCATCTAATTTCTCGATTGAAAATTGTTTTGAGTAAATATTCGAAACAAGTAATTGGAATCTTGGAGAATTATATGATTAAAATTTATTTCCTTGAGGACAAAAACTTTATAAACTTTATACTCAGCAACCAAATAAGATAAGGAGAGATCGCATTAACAGCTTTTGTTTTTCTTTGCATAACTTTTTTGCATTTCACCGATTAGTGGCATAACATTCCGATGTTAAACTGTTAGGGTTTGCCTTAATTTTCTTTTCATGTGGACAAGTAAGAGTGGAAATGTATTTTAATATAGTGGACAAGTAAAAGTGAAATAAGGAAGTAAAATATTTTGTCTCTTTTAGTATATTTTTCTTAGTGTCTAATTTAACGCCGTTCAATATTTACTTTATTAGCTTCCACGTGACACTTTATTATTTCGATCCGAACATAAGATACTTTTAAATTTTGTCTAAATGGAAATTATGCACAAAGCAATCATACTAATAACAAAAAACAAAGAAACTTTAAGATACAGTAGTAAAACTAAAAATTCAAAACAGAAGCTCAAAGCATTTCAAATGCATCTGCAAAAATGGTCAAAAACTTTAAAAGGTAAAGGTGCCTAGGATTTTATAATTCTTCAATATAGCTGTGTTATAGACATGTGCTTGGAGATTTTTCACT